GCTTTGCCCAACCAGCCCACACCCATTCTGGCTCTTACCATTGAGTGCTATAGCCCAACCCTGGCTGGCCCATCCACAGACCCAGCTCTCATGTGGTCCAGTGGTTGCCAAGACCTAGCCCAGTCTGTCCTACACCCACTTTGGCACCTGAGAGCACTAGTGGGTGTTGGAGCCTACACGAGTCTGGCATACCCAACATCCAGTCCACACCCATGCTGGCTGGTGTGGTATCCCATGCTAAGGGATACTGCAGCCATGTCCAGCCCAGATCACCACCCCCCATTTTGGCTCTCATACTTACCAGAGGGAATCACAACCCAGCAGGGTGTCCCCTTAGCTCCTCAACCAGGCCTTCTCCCAGCCACAGATTTTGCATTTGTCAGTGGTTGCCCAGCACAGCATAAACCATCACCTGGCTTGGCCTTTCCCATCAGATGATACAGCCTGGCCTAGCCTTGCCTTGCTGATGGGTGCTACAGCCTAACCTTGCCCAGCCTGTCCCCATCCCTGGTTTTCTTTTTTTTTTTTTTTTAAGATTTATTTATTTATTGGAAAGTCAGATATACAGAGAGGAGGAGACACAGAGAGGAAGATCTTCCGTCCGATGATTCACTCCCCAAGTGAGCACAACGGCCGGTGCTATGCCGATCCGAAGCCAGGATCCAGGAACTTCTTCCGGGTCTCCCATACAGGTGCAGGGTCCCAAGGCTTTGGGCCGTCCTCGACTGCTTTCCCAGGCCACAAGCAGGGAGCTGGATGGGAAGTGGAGCTGCCGGCATTAGAACCGGTGCCCATATGGGATTCTGGCGCGTTCAAGGTGAGGACTTTAGCTGCTAGGCCATCGCGCTGCCGGGCCCATCCATGGTTTTCATGCAAATCAGTAAGGATAGAAGCCTAGCCTAGCCCAGCATGGCCTGCACCCCATCTTGGCTCTCAAATATGCCAGTGTGCTATAACTTGGTCTGGGCAGGCCCAGTCCACGCCTTCAAAGCTAACCCACACACTTACCAACAAGTGAAGCAGCCCTGCCCAGCATGATCAACATTCAGCCAACTCACATACTCACCACTGGGAGTTATGACCCACCAAGGGAGTTTCTCAAATTCCCCCACCAGATCCACTCCCAGGCCAAGATCTCAAGCATGAGAGCAGGTGCTAGACCACAGCGTTTGTGTGTCTCAATAGGCAGTGGCTGATATAAACAAGTCCAGCTCTGGTCCCACATAGGTGAGTATATTCATTTGGCCTCCAAAAGTCCTCTGATTTCCCTCATCCAAATCACCTGGTTTCAGCCCCAACATTGACCTGCAAGTGCAGCAGCCTGACTGGTGGAAGTCCCCCAGAAGTCACTCCTCACTTGTCATGTTCTCCCTCAGCAGTCCTCTCTCCCACACATCCCCGGACCCACTTCTTTTAGCAACCCACAGCCACCTGTGCCCACAAGTGCTCAGATCCCCAATTCTTTCTGGTGGTGTGGAAAGGCAGCCTGGTGCCCTGCCTGCCTGCTCTAGACCCACACATACTTGGGAACAGGTCCTCAGACCCTGTCTGCCGGCATGCCAGCGCCTGCCTCCTACATATCTTAAAAAAAAAAAAAAAAAAAAAAAGAATAGACAACTACACTGACACACTGGTATAGTTAACAAAAATTGGTCATTAACCAGGCCCAGAATGCCAACCAGTTATTAGCTGCTTTTCTCCCAGCAGTGTAACACTTGCCTAGGTACAAAGCAACCTAGGTGGTTGCCTACAGCCATACTTTTTCTTAGCCAGAGAAGGAAACATTACCAAGAATATGATCCTTCCTTAGGTACACTCTAACCCCTCTCTGTGCAGTGTGCGAATAGCCTCTTACATCATACAGAGCTGTAAATAGAGAATATCTCAGATTTCACAGAACACTCATGACAATGGTCGAATTTCCAGCAAATCTTATGGGGCTAAGTTTCTGAGATGATGGCCAAAGAAATTCTAAGGAGAGACAAAAAAAAAAATTCATATTTGTTCCCCTAGCTAACTTGTATAGTTTGATTTATGATAAGAAAAGAAAAAAAAAAAGATTATTTTAGCTGCCAAAACAGTTTTTGTATCAGAAATATTTCATTTTATTCTGCTTTTCATGTTTCTATTAGAAAGGCAGTGGTGAATTGTATCTTTGCAGTTGATTTTGTTTGTACTTTTTCATTTGCTTTTGAATTACATCATTATGTTCTTTTTGATCTCACCTTCTGTCCTTTTAATATATTATTATTTTATTTTAATAATCTTTACATAGTTGATTAGGACACACAGGGTCAAGGGCTACAGGAAAGTGGGCAAGACCATTGTTTCCACGTTCTCTTTCTTTCTTCTTCTTTTTTTTTTTTGTATCTGGGGGGTAAGGGAGTAGATAAAGGGAGAAGCCCCACCTAGCCTCCACCCATCCCAGTGTCCCCAATGTGGGGCATGCTCCAAAGGCACTGCTCCAGTGATTTTGATAAGTTCAACAGTTCTGAATTACTGCCAATCTCACCATTCCAAGCATGATGAAATCTTTCCAGAATCCATTGGTTGACATAATCCACCTTAGAGTCTCCATTTGCCCAGATTTTCGTCACGTGGCTGGGGTAATTGATCCATTTGTTCTGTCCTCCATCCTCTGTTGTGGTACCAAGGACTGCCACATCCTCCATGTGCACCTGGATATGCTGTTCACTGCTCCCTCTGAGCCAATGAGGAGGCTCAGCCTTGACACATGCATTCTACAGTCAGACCATGAAACCTGCAATTCTCTTCATGGTTGGAGTTCTGCGTCCAGCAGTTCAGTTGGGTAATCCCCAAAGAAACTTCATCTGAGGTGATCCCAGACCTGATTCTTGTGTGTGCTTGCCAGTACAGGCACAGTCCATTACCTCAATCAGCTTATGCATATGCTGGTGGTTGCAATTGCTGGGTCAGTTCTGTTTCCAGCCCTGTCTTCTGCATGAACCAATGGGTGTTGCAGCCCAACCTGATCCTGCCCACCACACACTCAGCCTCACGCAAACTAGTGAGAGCTGCAGCCTAGTCAGAACAACCCGCACTCCCACCAGACCGCCCCCCTGTTCTGGTTCCCATGCTTGCCAGCATACACAGCAGAGTGGTCCAATCTGTCCCACATTCCACTCAGTTCTCATATATGTCAATGGGCACTGAAACCTAGTTCAACCCAACCAGCCCCACTATCCAGTCCACACACATGTTGGCAGGTGCCATTCTGTCAAGCCATGTCTGCCCCAGTCCTGGTTCTCATGATCTCCAGTGGGACTGGAAACCCATGAGGGAGGTGCCCACTATTTCCCTACTGGGTCCACTCCCACTCCAGGATCTTGTACTCTCCAGGTGGTTCTTCAGTTTGACTTGACAGAATTAGACTGCAGTGCCAGCATCTGCCAGCTGATGCTGCCAAGATCTTAATCAACAGTATGTTATGAGCCAGGTGGGGGTGGGTATTGTGACTCAGCAGGTTAAGTGACCAAATGGGATGCGTGCATTCCATATAATGGAACTTCCTACTAACATACCTGCGAGGCAACAGGTGGTGGACCAAGTGCTTGAGTTCCCTCATGCGGAGACTCAGATGGACTTCCTGATTTCTGACTGCAGTCTGCCCCAACCTCAACTGCTGTGGTTATTTGGATAGTGAACCAGTAGTTGGAAAATATCTGCCTCTCCATCTATGTGTCTGTCTCTATCTATCTACCACTCTGCTTTCCCCCGCAAAAAGAAAGAAAACAAACAACAAGAAAAACACACACCAAAGCACAAGATCAAAACAAAATGAAAAAAAAGAGAGAGAGAGAGAAGGAAGTATCTAACTCAAATAGAATTCTCACAATGTTTGCATTCTGAGTGATAGGGAGAATAACAACCTCTTAAAAGTTTTAAAAGTAAGAGACACTTGTGTCCCTGTGTGGCCCATTCATATAAGCCCCTTAATAGAGAACAGCTACACACACATCCAGACTGTGTCAGATTACATTCAAGGCAGATGGGAATGAAGACGGCAAATCACCTGTCTTCAGATCGGGAGACCACCTTGGATGATTTAGGTGGGCACAGCAATATCACTCTTGACCTTCCAAATGCAAAGAAACATAAGAGAAGGTCAAAGGGAGGGGACGTAAGATAACTCGACCTGAATGACTTTGAAATTGGAGGAAGAAGCCATGAAGCAAAGAATGTGGGTCACCACACAAAAGGTTCACTCCTGAGACACTCCAAAAGGAAGGTGGAGACCTTGATTTTAACCTTTGAGAGTTGAACTTCAGATCTCAGAACTGGAAGTTAATAAATGTATGTTATTCTAAGTCAACAACTACATGGTAATTTGTTAGGACAGTGACAGAAAATAAATGCACTGAAATCAAAGCCTAATGCACCTGCAAGTGAAAAACAGTTGAATACTAATGTGGCCCGGTCCCAAAGAGAGACTATGGTTTACAGGACATGGTTTGCCTGAAGTACATGGGCCCAGGATTCTTGGAACAAACACTGATGCCAGGCTGGGACAGTCCATCTCGCCAGCAGCCCCTCTCTCAGATTTTCTTTCAACCATTTGGATGTAGGGATATTTGATATGTAACTGCTGGGTTTCTGGAGATCTGGGACGTAAAATCGGATACACTCTCATTTTGGACCATTTCAAAATGCTTTTCATGGGAAAACTCTAGGGCAAGAAGGGAATCTTGCAAATTGTTTAATATTTGAATAGTACTATGAGTCAGAAAACAATTATTCCATCAGTATTTACCACCTGCCTCGGCCCCAGATTTCTGGTTTGTCCAGTGTGCATTGAGCTCAAAACAATATTCAGAGGACTGAGGAATACAGCCCTGAAAATCCAGACAGCTGACTGATTGACATAAAATTTGTTCACCAACAAGAGATTATTTCTCTTATTTACCCACAACATCTATTAAGTTTGTGATATTGGGCCCTCCCTCGGAAAGCAACATTCCAGGACTTGCTATGGAACATACCGGACATCCAGTGACTGCCGCCAGGCCCTCAGCCAACTCACAGGACCTGATCAGATCCTCGATCACTGTCAAAGCTTGCTGCAGTTCAGCTGAGAATGTGGAATCCTTGGTCCTCTGGAGCCCAACCTGTGGAAAACAAACACATTGTTGGAGCCTGGACCCAGCAGGCACTGACCCACAAGAGGGGTCTGTCGCTTTGTCTCCCTGGTTCCAAAGAATGATGGCTCAAGGTAAACAAAATTATATCCCAAGCCTTCTGTAGGTGGTACTAATAATGAGTGAAATTGAAAATACCGATGACAATGCTTATAAAATCCTCAACAGAAAAAGGGGTGGAGGCTGCCATGTGGGAACTTACTGATGATTTGCATGTAAATTCCTCTCCCTAGTCCTGCGCTTCCTCCTTCCACTCCTCCCCTAGACCTCTGCACATTCCAGCCCACTAATGGTGCCAGAAATAGGCTAGTAGGTGTTGTGTGTATGCCTGCAAACATGATGACAGCAGGAAATGGGAAGGTGCTTAGCATTCATTCAAAGGATCTCTGTTCCAGTTATTACCACAGTGGCACTTAGGATATGATGGCACAGGATGACTTCAACTTCAAAGTCTTCTGTCTGGGATTTGAGATTTCATCCCCCTGCTGCCTATGGGCATATGACTCTCTGTTACCAGGCAAACATAAACATGCAGATCTTGAGTTCTCCTGTGTATTTATGCAACACCTTAACTTCTGCAGCAAAGAACAAATGATAATTCTTGGCTGCATCACAACTGACCTCACCCTTTTGTCCTCAAAGCAGGTGTGGTCAGAGGGGTGTGTGTGCTCTTCATTTCTACTGAAGCTATAAAGACTAGCAGCTTTGGAGCAGAGACATGAGTGATAAGTTGATGAATGGAGCAGATTATGCGGGCTCCACTGAATAAAGGGGCATGGACTCTCACTCTTCACTAACGGTAACAAGCTTCAGCTCCTGGTGAAAGATAACCGACTCACCTGCCTTTATGTTAACATCATCAATTGTAAGTTCTTACACCTGACATCTTCCTCCTAGCCCAATATTTAAAACTCAATTTTCTTTTAGGTACTTAACCTGCTACTATGTCCTGTCTTTCCCTCCTTTCACAAACACACCAGGTAGGCTAGCTTTACACATTTGATGTAGGGCTCAGGAAACCCCTACACATGTGATTCAGTTCTTTAACCATATACAGCCACCCTTGTTCCAGGCCTTGCATGTCTTCTGTTTTTAAGGGGTCTTCATCACATATTCTAACACAAAAATGCACAAGATGACTATTTCTCTATACACATGTCTCCAGATTATCTTGTGAAAACCAAGAAAGAAACCACAATGCTAAGCCACAAACCTCATTCTACTCTAATGTGGTCACCATTTCCAGAAAGGGAAACTTCAAAATTTACACACACAGACACACTCACGCAAGGCGGGGGCGGGGGGGTGGTATTGTTAACAAGACACAAAGTAAACAAATTACACAGGCACAAGTACAGTAAAAAAAAAAAAAAAGTAAATAAATCATATATAATTCAACCATGCAGGAAAACCGAGATGGAGAGTTTATCACATTTATTTCTAGTCTTTTGTGTATGCATTTTCACATTCACTTCATTTTGAATTCCCATTTAAAAGTTTTAACTGGAAGGAAAAATTACATATTACCACCTCCCACTGGGTTGTGAATTCCCACTTCAAAACTGCCTTCTAATTTTTTTGTATTTCCCTGACTGTAAATTATAGAATAACATATTATTTTAGGAACTTTAAATTATAACAATCATAACAAGAAAAATAATGTCCCAGTACCTTATCCAAGCCTTCTAGGTCACCTGGATCTATCTCCAAATCTTCAGGTGATTCAAGATCCAGCAGGGCCTGCATGAAACCAAAAATCAAAAAGTAGACCATCAATGAAATCTGATGCACAAGAATCTGTAACTGATGCTAACTGGCTGAGAATGTGCTTCAAGTTGTAACAGACAAAAAAAATGACAGACCCAATACAAAATTTCCACCACAAACCTAAAATCATATGAAATACACTATTTTGCTTGCCCCATTTTTCTTATTCAACAATTCTTTTTCCTCCAATACATTTTTTTAATGTGAGTGTTGATAGCATTTTAAAGATTTATTTATTTATGCATGCATTTGAAAAACAGTTTGACAAGAGAGGGAGACACACACATACACATAAAGAGAGAAACAAGGAGGCAGAGACAGAGAAATTTTCTATCCACTGGTTCACTCCTCACATGCTCAAAACAGCTAAGGCTGAGCCACCCCAAAGCCAGAAACAGCAGCTCAGTCTAGGTCTCCCATTCATGTGGGTAGCAAGAACGCAGATTTTTGTCCATCACAGCTGCCTCCCTGGCACATTAGCAGGAAGCTGGGTGATAAACAGAGGCAGATCTTGATCTGAGGCACCCTAAAATAAAATGCAAATGTCCCAAGCAACATTTTCACTTGATATGCCACAACACCCTCCCCTAACATATGGACTTTGATTGTGATGTGCAATATTTAATCAAACAGATAAACCATAATTGTACTATGGTTATGAACTGTGGTCTCCCTCCCCACAACATGAAATAATCACTGTTATAGCATTGTTATTATTTCTTGTATTTTTCCTAAAGATAAATCCCTAGAAGCGGCGTCGCAAATGTCAAGAGTTCTGTAGCATATCTCCAAATTCTTTAGGAAGTATTTTTGTGTCCCTTCCAGCTATATGTGAAAGCTTGCCTCTCCAGTTCCTAGCTTAGATGGAATGTTACAGTTTCATGATAAATCTTTGCCAACAGAATCAGGAAAGAAATTCTACCTATGGCTATTGTTTCCATTCCTCAAATAACTAGCGCGGTAGAACTCAAAAATAGTTGCTAACAGTATTTACTTCTTAAAAAATTGCCTGGGTCAGGGCCCGGCGCGGTGGCGCAAGTGGTTAAAGGTCCTCGCCTTGCACCCCCGGGATCCCATATGGGCGCCGGTTCTAATCCCGGCAGCCCCGCTTCCCTTCCAGCTCCCTGCTTGTGGCCTGGGAAAGCAGTCGAGGACGGCCCCAGGGCTTTGGGACCCTGCACCCGCGTGGGAGACCTGGAAGAGGCTCCTGGCTTCGGATCGGCGTAGTATCGACCCCTTGCGCTCACTTGGGGAGTGAATCATCGGATGGAAGATCTTCCTCTCTGTCTCTCCTCTCTGTATATCCGCCTTTCCAATGAAAAAATAATAAAAATAAATCTTTAAAAAAAAATAAAAAAAAAAAATTGCCTGGGTCTAGAGTTCCCTTTTTTCTTATTTACATCTCAGAGCTCATTAATTAAACATTCTGGCCTTTTGGCACGTATCTCTGTTTCCCCAATTATTGTGCTTTTGTTTCTAATGGTGTAATCTATTGCTCTCTTCTGTTCCCTTGTATTTAGAAAGGATTTCCCACACTAGGACCCCATGGTCCTTGCTCGACCCCAAGGCAACAGAGACGATATCCAAACTTTCCTAAACAAGCTGATGGGTGGGAGGAAGCACAGAAAGATCTTTGTCCTCCAGGGAGAGAACACAACCCGGCCCTTCATTTCTTCAGTGGCACAGCAGTGGCTCGGACTTGGCTTTTCCAGGACACAACAGATTTAGCTTTGAGGAAAAACTGTCCCCCTCACACATCACTCTTCACAGACTCCCAAGCAATATACATGAATTGTATTTCTTATTCCTTCAATGAAGCAGCAGCTAACCAAAATTTCAAAGAACTTTGATCCTGTGTTACCTTGTTGTATGTTCCCAACCAGGTCACCAGGAAAGGCTAACTATCATCTTAATTCTGTAGGGGAGGAACCTGAGACAGAGAGAAGTTAAGCAACTTGTCCTTGTTCATGCACCATGGAAGTGTTGACCTGGATAGAGTCCCAAGCTGTCTAACTCCTATGCTCACAGCCTTCCATGTATGGTACAGATGTTAGCTTCTGGATAAGAATCATGTTGGTGGGGACAATCAAGCCCAGTACAAGGGAATGAATGTCATTCCTATGTACTGATCCTTCTTCACTGGGCCCAAAAGTAGGACTTCTGAACAGTGAATGAGTGGTCACGATGGACAAGGCAGAAGAATAGGGGCCTTAAGACATGCTAGTGGAGGAAGGAAGCAGTGCATCACCGCCCTCACTCCTGTAGTGGTATAATGGCTACCCACCATGCAAAGTGTCCTAGGACCAGTGCTGTGCACCATGCGTATCACCTGTTCTTGGTAATGAGTGCACTGAGGAGGTTCTACTTCCTTCCTTTTACATAGGAGAAAGCTAGAGCCTGAGAAACCAAAGTTCCATAAGTGAGCAGGTACTGGTGAGACTGAGACTGCTGATGGAAAGCTGAAAAGGGTAGCTTTCTTTAGGGAGGACAGCTTGGGCAAGTAGCTCAACCTCCTTAAACCTGAATGTCTTCACACTCCCCAGCTTTGCTGGCTCATCAGACTGGGGAGATTAAATAAGAAACACGCTTGGGGAAATACCCAAGAACAGGCTGCCCATTTTTTTTTTTTTTATTTTAAGTTAGAGACAGTACCCACAGGGCAGGAGCCACCTAAATACCATACATAGGCTAATTCTAAAGACAACATCTAAGGGAAACCAGACACGATGGATCCCTATATCCTGTTTGGGTGTCCAATCAGTGTTCACCTGCAGATGCACTGGTGTCAATAGCAGGAGATGCAGAGATTAGAGAGAGGAAGAGCAGGAGAGAAACAGAGAGAAGGGGGAGGGAGGAGGAAGGAGAAAGAGGAACAGAGAAAAACCACTTAGTGGTTCATACACGATAAAATGTATTATTACATCAGAATAAGATATTAATCTAAGAGTGGAGGTTGATAATGCAAAAGGAGAAAACATTCCCATTTTATCTTCTCCATTCCACTGCTATAATGCACACAAAACAGTTACTTTTAGAAAAAACCACATCTCCTCCAAAGGGCCATATTTCATCTCAATGCAACAGACGACGTGTCTGAAAGCAGAGCCTCTGGCTCTCCCCTGGCCTCTCAGCTGTCAGCAGGGCAGCCGTACCCCTTCCCTCCAGCTCTAAGAATCCCCCCTCCCCTAAGCCAGACTCCTTAGAGATTCATATCCTGGGCCAAATGTTGGCCTTAGTTGGGCTCCAAACTCCTTTCCAACCCTACAAATCTCTGATCTTACTCCTCACTGAGGGTTGATCAGACTTAAAGAAAAGAAAAAGCCCAAAGAATGGACAGATCTTCAAGCTGACAAGATGCTCACAAGTCCACAAGGCTAAGGAAGACGGCACCACAGCACAGGCATCTGACTTCCCAGCACAGCAAGGCACGGTTTCATTGACCTTACCTTCAACAGCATCTGGTATTTTATTAGTCTTTGGCTTGGTCCTCTAAGATACTTAAAAAGAGGCAGATTGTGATCCAACTGGCGCTGGCATACCTTTTAAAGCCAAATAGAAACCACACAGCATGAGATAAGCAACACACAGAATAAAAATTGAAGCATTTAGACACAGAAAATAAAAGGACCCATCATAGTCAAGGAAGGGAAGGTTTGTTGCTAGTCCTATGAAGTGATTGGGCCATTCAGTCTCTTGAGAGCAGTGAGCAAAGTAGGGGCAAGACCTGGCTCACGTTTTCACAGACAAATGGGGTAGCAAGACTGTCTGTTCCTGTTTCAGAGCCAATCTGCTGGAATCCCATAGGGTATGTCAGATCCTTCTGGAAAGGAGGCGCCCTGCCATCAATCTGGGAGGATGGCATCGGGCTTATATGCATCATTCCAGGGAGACCCTTATGTGACCTTCTGAAATTTTGTTCCAGTTTTTAAAGTCTGTCCTGAAAGAGGATGCTGCTTTTTCTCACTCTGGAACTTCTCTAAGGCCTGATCCATAGACACCCAGAATAGGATGGAAACTTCTAGAGTATAATTGCCAAATATGGGAGACTTTAACTCACTACAAACCATGAAGCCAGATTCCTCCTCTGCCTAGTTCACATTTTGAATTTCTTTAAAATTTTGAGATAAATAAGCATTTTCCAGGGAAAACAATTTGTGGGAGAATTTATAAGCTAAACATTACCCCAAAGTAGGCACAGTCTTGACACTCTTGCCATATTGCCCTAGCTCGGGGCAGATTCTTGTGGTATTTAAAATATATTTGAAGGTCTTCTTTCTAAGCGGGAAAAAACAAACAAACAAAAAAATCAGGAAGCATTTTTCACTAGCGGAAAGGATAACATTCATTCAAGCCTGAGTACTTCTGTGTAAGGAACTGAAAATGCATGAGGAATAAACATGTCAGTGTGAATGAACACTGGGAAAGAAAATAAAGGCTGTAAACAACCCAAAGTACTAAATTGTGGATTGTGGGGTCATCTATAAGAGCTGCTGCCAAATAAATAAGTACTTTCAAGAACATAATTTTTTGTTTTGTTTTGTTTTTTAGATTTATTGATTTATTTAAAAGGCAGAGTTACAGACAGAGAAAGAAAGAGATTTCCCATCTGCTGGTTCACTCTCCAAATGGCCACAGTGGTTGAGGCTGGATCAGGCTGAAGCCAGGAGCCAGAAATTCCATTATGCCTCCTATGCAGGTATCATGGGTTTAATTACATTGGCCATCTTCCACTGCTTCTCAAGCACACTAGCAGGAAGTTAGATCAGAAGGGAGCATCCGAGACTTGAATCAGAAACCATATTGGATGCCAGTGTTACAAACGGCAGCTGCATGTATTGCATCACAATGTCATTCCCTGCGTTTTTACTTTATTGATTCCAACACTCACCCACCAGACGCTTCCTATATTCTGGATGAGATGTGGGGGATCCAATCTTCCACCCAACAACATCCTCAACTGTCAACCACATTTTCCCCCCGTGAGTTCTCCCAGTAACTGAGGGATCTGGTTCTACTGGTAGATGCCAGGCTGAAACCTGCCTTCTGGAAACCTTCACCCTTTGGTTCTCATTCTCTCCTTTAACAAAAGTAGGACAGCCTGGCTTTCAAATACCAAAATGCCACCATGGCTCCAAATTTTTACCTCTACAAACTAACAGTCCAAAAATTCCTTAGAGAAATGATATGCACTAATCAACAACATGGGAAAATACCTCATTCCACTCATTTCCTTATAGAATAAGTCAGAAGATTCTAAAATTACTGGGAAAACTGATTCATCATAGGTAACACAACTGCTGATGGGTCAAGTCTACAGACTGGTCAAGGATGGTCCAAGTTTGGCTTAGCATTGTCAATTACAAATGACACGACCTGAAGTCACTTACTGAACCTTCCTAGACTTCAGTCTCCTCATCTGCTGAGTGGGCTCATCATAGCATTCAGCTCTAGTGAGCATGTGAGATTAAATGAGATGATATGCTCCACATTCACAGAGTACTTAAAAAACGGTAACTAGTGTCAAAGAATTTCTTACTTTAGAGAACCTTTCTACAGACACCATTTCATTTGTTTCCCACTACAACCTTCAGCCTGTTATAGAGAGGAGGAAAGTGAGATTCTGAAGGCTTACATTATTTCTGTGAAGTCTCAATGATGGCAAATGGCTCACCTGGGATTGTAAGTGCCAATCCAATGCACCTTGCACCTCACCATGAAACCGAAAAGCACTTTGTTCTATTCTACCTAGAACACTGTCTCCAGAGAAGACCTTCTGGATGATTCAGGCTACATGGTCTGATGAAAATATTTGGCCAAAAGAATACCTCAAAATCACTTCCAAGGTCAGTGGAATTCGGCCAACATGAATGAGGAAATGAAAACGGCTGAAGTTAGGGTGAAGAGCTTCTTATATTGGCCAACCTCCTCCAAGAACTCTCTGAGATCAATAACTGTGGCTTTTAGTGATTTCATTTGTTAGAAGGATAACTAGGCACCTGATAAGAATGTATTACCTAGGTTTTTCCTCCAAAATCATAAACCACATCGAAACAGAAATAAAGATTGCAGTCTCAATTGATGTTTCCAAGGTTTCTCCCAACATATGGGAAGCTGTAAAACTCCTTTCTCAAGGAAAACTGTTTCCTGCCAGTAATTCTCTAATAATTTCCCTGCAATTAAGTGATTGTTATTTGATAATATCCTATCTTCCCAGAAGACTTAAGTCTTTTGCCGTTTAACAAATCAAATAACCTTTGTATTAATGGCATAAGCAAACATAATATACATATAAAACTCAAAACTGTATTTCATATCAGTGGCTTGATGAGAGTGCAAAAGTACAAGCTAGAATAAAACATTGTGTAACTCAACACAGAAGTAAACAACATTTTTAAAGAAAGATGTATTTACTTATTGAAAAGATAGAGTTACAAGCAGAGAAAAAAAGACACATCTTCTATCTGTCAGTTCACTCCCCACATGCCACAACAGCTGAGGCTGTGCCGAGCTGGAGCCAGGAGGCCAAAGCTTCTTCCAGGTCTCCAATATGGATGCCGAGATCCAAGGACTTCCACAGCTTTCCCAGGCACAACAGCAGGGAGTTGGATCAAAAATAGAGCACTTGAGATTCCAACCAATGCTCAGACGGGATGCAGGGTATCTAAAATGTTTAATTTGATTAATCTGTTTTTTTGGGCTCAGAGAAAGAAAAATTGCAAAAAGAATGGAAGTGTTAGGGCCAGATGCAAAAACAGAATAAAGGGAAAAGCATGAGAAAGTAGGGGACATCAGATCATTAGCACGGTCATCTTCAGGTACAAGAAAGCACTTAAAAAGGAATTGTGTGGGCAAGACACTACTTGAGCCCAAACAGTGTATTTACTACTCAAAGCGGGGGTACAGAAACTACAGGAAGTCAGAGTGTTGGGAACAGGAAGGATTGGAGATAGCACACAGTATTTTTAAATGGGGTGCTAAGTATAAAAGAGGCTATGAATTTAAATATCTCTGATTATCTCCTATGCTGTGAAAGGAAAAAAAAAAAAAACACAGAAGAGCTGCTGCTGTTGCTGTATCTTAGCAAGTAAAACTTCTGCCTGCTATGCTGGCATTCCATATGGGCACTGGCTCTAGTCTAGGTTGCTGAGCTTCTAATCCAGCTTCCTGTTAATGAGCCTGGGAAAAGTAGGGAAAAATGGTTCAAGTCCTTGAACCCCTGAACCCATGTGGGAGACCTGGAGGAAGCTCCTGGCTTCCATCTAGGCGCAACTTCTGTGGCCATTTGGGGAGTGGACCAGGGGGTAGAATGTTCTCTCTCTCGCTTTCTCTCTGTAACTCTACCTTCCAAATAAATAGATAAATCTTAAAATCATAAGTGTATTTTCTGAATGAAACGTATGAAAAGTTTGGAATGTATTTTCTGAGCTTCCTAAGTATATCAGTACTGCTCCTCTTGAGAGCTTTATACTAGAACTTCAGGATAAGATTTGAAGCCTGCTGTGTGATTCTTTTTATAAAACATGGCTCAGTTGTTACCAAGAGGAATATCTACTTGGAGCACCCTGGGAGGCCAGACTTTCATTTCATGGAGCTTTACAGGAAGGAAGCTAGGCTCGATGGTATTCCCAACTGCCAGTGTGAGTTTAAATTCAACTCATTCTCAACCTCAGTGAAATGAGGTAAAGATGGGAGCCCAACAGTCCTGCAAGACTCCTGGCCTGAATTCAAAAGATGGATTCAAATCTACTCTCTTAGTAAATCTCTAGTGACTAATGAACTAGATCCCACATCAGTGGCTATTAACCATAGTCAATAGGCTGTACATTCTGACTCCAGAAGTTACTCATTCTATAACTGAAAGTTTATACTTTCCAAACAACATCTCCACATTTCCCCTATCCTCTAGCTCCCATAGTCTGATTCTTTGAGTTCAACTCATACAGATAACACACACACACACACACACACACACACACACACACACACACTGGGAGGTGATCCATGTGTCTATTAAGCTGATTGTGGTAATCATATTACTCCCATGTGTATCAAGTCATCATGTGTACACCTTGAGTGTATGCAGTTTCTATATGTCACTTCTGCTTTACAGATAAAGACAGGGAATTTGGGAAACATGAAGGAGTGGGGAATGCGAGTCCTACAGGTCATGTAAAACCCACAAAATCACTTGGGTTGGCCCTATGAAGGCAACTGAGGTTGGGACCTAAAATTCAATATATCTATACCAGGTTTATTTTTAAGTTGATAATTTCATATGACCATCAAGTGATGTTATAAATATCCAAATGACCGCTGGCAGAAGAGAGATGCCCCACATCTAGGGTCATTCATATTTCCACTTGCCCTTGTCTCCTATGCAGAAAAGCAAGGGTCAGCTTAAATCTGGTAGCAATTTTGATCTAGTGGGAATGTACACTTACTCTATTGACAAAGCAACGTGCCAGAAGTTCAGGGTTTTCAGTACATTTTTCCAATTCCTTTAGAAAAGTCCTAGGGAAATAAAAGTATGATAATGTCTTGGTTTTTACACTAATATGGTTAAAACCTTCAAGTAAAATTATACACAGTTACAGAGGAGTGTAGATAAATGTTGTTCTTTGGGCTTTATGACTCTTGATTCATTTTCTACACACGTATCTGGAAGAAAAAATACATTCTGGTTTTTGTTTTTTGTTTTTTTGTTTTTTTTTTTTGGTGTACAATGATTACTGGGAAACAGTAGTCCAAAGCTCCAGCCATCCGACAGACTGGAGATATCGATGCTCCCCACCCAATACACAATAACAATGTTCACAGGAGCTGTTATTGCTCTGCCAATGATCACTGAGAGCTTACTTATGCCAGGGATAATCTAAATGTTTCCTAAATAATATCTTATTTAATTCTCAACTAAATTCTACAAGATAAGAGGGGTTTTGTTTGTTTGACGTTTGTTATTGGTTTATTTTTTTTTTTTTTGAAAGTTAAAGAGGCAGAGAGAAACACATGGAAAAAGAGGGCTCCCATACAGTAGTTCACATTCTAGATATCCTCAACAGCTTGGAGTGAGCAGGGATGAAGCTGGGAACCCAATCCAGGTCTGCCATATAGGTGGTAGGAACCCAAACAGGTATAAAAGAGCCTCCATCTCACACAGCCTCCAACCCTGAGGTGTATGTCAGCAGGAAGCTAGAGTCAGGAGCCAGAACGGGCATTAAATCCAGGCACTTTGATACGGGATGCACACTAGGTATGTTAACTGCTAGGCCAAACACTTGCCCCAAGATAGAGCTTTTATAAACAGGAAACCGGAGACTCAAAACAACTGAAGAACTTCACAAGAGGAGTAGCAGAAACCGGCTTCCATTTCAGCTTTGCATCTGAGCACGGACAAGGAACCCAGGTAGGAAACAACTGTGATCCAACCCATCAAGCAGTCTTTCTCCTTCCATCAATTAGTTGTAGGGTCTTGGGTCCTCACTGTGTAATAAAGCATAGTCTCCTTACGAATGAAAAGACTAAATGATGATTTACAAAGTTGCTTCCCTCAACTCTCTACAACTCAACATCCTGAAATCAAAGGGCAGTGTAGTTTGACCAGCTAACAATGTCTAACATCTAACACCACCTTGGGATAACAGGAATGTGGACACGTGCCTTGATCATCTTTGTATTCCTCACACTGGGCACAGTGCCTGGCACAGAAGAGGGGCTCAATAAGTGCTGATACAAGAATAAGCAAACACGAAAAGGAACACACAGTTGGACACAACACTGAATCCCGACTCCCAGCCCATGCCCCACTGATGTCTTGCCCCTTTTTCCTCTGTGACCCTGTGGAGCTGCTCCCCTCCTACTCACCCCACCCCACTCCAATTCAAAGCACTGGCTCCAAAGCACCTGTTTTGAGCCTGGAAACTTTTTAAGTACTTTTATCTGCAAATCCCATCAGCCTGACTAACACTTTCTTTTTTTCTTTCCTTCTTCCTGTTTATGTGAATTATTGTATACCTGTTGTGAAATTCGTAAAGTTCTCTTATATTCCCAAAGAGAAGGTCCTTGTTATTCTGAAGAATGTCTGGAATCAGATGTTTCAGCCAAATAAAATCCAGTGGAGTGATATATCCCTGCAGAGGTGAAAACAAGGAAGGAACACATAGGGGATGATTTGAATTAGCCACTCCAACTGCAAGAACCAAGACCTTAACAAAACAGCTGGGCAATACAGCACACATCTTTCTTACATGTTACACTACTAAATACTTTCTTTTGATATCCTTTCCCTAGTACATTTAAAGGCAATTATAATAAAACGGCATTTTTATGGGAAGAATGAACATAATTTTAAAATGCTTATATCGTATGAAAGCTGGATGTGAAAGAAAGGAAAAAATTATCTGTCATTTTAGTTACTTTTTAATTTCAATTATTTTAATTACTATTATGTTTTATTATATTTCCTTCACAAATATAAAACATTCATCTTCTCTAGTTACCAACACAGTACATATATAATCTTGCAATATTTTTCTGTGCACATTTTGAGCAATTATCAATGTTGACACATATCCCAAATCACTATGTTAAACAGTTTAGCAGTGTTTAGCATATGTCACACTTTATTAGCTGTTCCCCTTTTTTATTGGACATTTGAGTTGCTTCTGGTATTTTACAATTAAAAATATGCTATAATAAGTAAGTTTGAACACAGGTTTTTTTTTTTTTCATTACGATTATACCCTAAGGGAAGAGGGGAAAATATGCATTTGTACTCTCAAGACAAAAGCGGCTTTTAAAAAGTGGGAAATCTTGGACCTGGTGTGGTGGTCCAGCAGCTAAATCCTTACCTTGCAAGCTCTGGGATCCCATACTGGCACTGGTTCATGCCCCAGCTGATCGACTTTCTGTCCAGTTCCCTGCTAATGGCCTGGAAGAGCAGTGGAGGATGGCCTACAGCCTTGGGACCCTGCACTTGCAAGGGAGACCCAGAGGAGGCACCTAGCTCCTGGCTTTGGATCAGCTCAGCTCCAGCTGTTGCAGCCACTTGGGGAGTGAACCACCAAATGGAAGATTTTTCTTTCTGTGTCTCCTTCTCTCTGTAAACCTGCCTTTCCGATAAATACATCTTTTTTTTTTTTTAAGTGAGAGGTCTTTCCCTATTAAACTATCAAGAGCATTTAAGTTATCCTTGCCCATATCCTTTGCTAGCAAGCATATGATAAGCCAGGAGGTGATTGCTGGAGTCAGTATGAATTAGCACAGTCCTTGGCTTACATGAATCAAGAACCATGACAATGTCCTTCTACAGAGAACCTTATGATACTAGGAGATGTGACACTTTGGTGGGAATTCCAGGCATGAGGCAACTATTTTTGAATCTCTGTGCAATGAAACATTTCCAGTTTGTATAAATGCTTAACATCCATCCTCCTCAATCTACTTACATCAATTATGCTCTTAATTTCTTTTATGTAAATCTCTTCTGTTTCAAGCAAGTCCCGTATGATGCGTCTGAATCACAGCAGCAGGTGGGAAGTCGAGAGAGAGACAGAGAAAAAGAAAGAAGGGAGGGGAAGAAGGGAGAGTACTCTTTAGAATTATCTTGAGATAATGCTCATCCATACAGTTCCTCTTAAGAGCGCACTTACTTAGATTCTAGTCAGTTCCCTCTGAACTACTGAACATTCTGGACCAGCATCTCACCTTGGTACTGAGAAGAAAAAAAGAGGTTAGAGGACACAAAATCCATTACAGCGGCCAGAGAACGACCCACCGCCTGGGTGGGTCATACAGCATGGAGGGCAACAGGACAGATGCTGAAATTCAAAATACTAGGTTTGGACTCACTGCTCATGTGATAACAATACTCTTAACATGGGACCATGTTTGGTACGGAGCTTAAGTCACCTCATAAAGTTCCTGCATCCCACATCAGGCTGCCTGGTTTAGCCCTGGCTCTACTTTGTATCCATCTTCAGGCTAGACTCATCCTGGGAGACAGCAGGTGATGGCACAAGTACTTATATCCTTACCATGCACATAGCAGACCTGCCCTGAGTTCCCAACATACTTGCCCAGTCCTGGCTGTTGCAGGCATTTGGGGAGTGACCTGGCAAACAGAAGATCTCTCATCTTTCTCTCTCTCATTCAAATAAAATTAAAATAAATACATAAATAATTTTTAAAAAAACTTTTTAAAGGAGCTCACTTTGAAGCTATATCCAGAGGTACATGTTCAGAATGGCAGATAGTAGCTGGGAGCTCCAGATGGAATCTGTCATTTTCACAACTACAGGGACGAGTCTAATGCACATGGCCCCGTTCTCCCAAAAAGGAACAATGACTGACCTGTTCTTCTTTACTATTTTCCACTTCCTTTCAATTTCTGAACATCCTTAAACAACCCTAAGAACTTCAAATAAATCAGTACCACAGTCTTGTCTTTGCTTCCTACCTAAAAATCATTCTATTCATTTACTAAACACATATCAACTCCCTGACAAGCATATAATGCAGTGGAATTAAACGCATTCACATGTTTGCAATCATTGCCACTACATTTTTCCAGAACTACTTCTTCATCCCCCACTGAAGTTTTGTATTCATAAAACCCAACTTCTCCACTCTCCACCCCCTCCAGACCTTGGGCACCTCTATCCGACTTTCTGTGTCTATGAACTTCTCCATTCTAGGAACTTCATATCAATGAATTCATTCAATAGTTGTCCTTCAGGGTCTGGCTTATTTCATGTGTTATAATATTTTCAAGGCTCACCCATGATGTGGCATCCCTCAGATTTCAAGATTTATTTTTATTTGACAGACAGAGATACAGAGCCAGGAGAGGCTTAACCTACCATGCCAGAGTGCCAGCCCCTGATTCCTCTTTTTTTCTTTCTTTCTTTCTTCTTTTTTTTTTTTGTTTGTTTGTTTGTTTTTAAGATTTATTTTTATCATTATTTTTTTTAATTGGAAAGGCAGATATACACAGAGGAGAGAGAGAGAGGAAGATCTTCCGTCCGATGATTCACTCCCCAAGTGAGCGCAACGGGCCGATACTATGCCGATCCGAAGCCAGGAGCCTCTTCCGGGTCTCCCACGCGGGTGCAGGGTCCCAAAGCTTTGGGCCGTCCTTGACTGCTTTCCCAGGCCACAGGCAGGGAGCTGGAAGGGAAGCGGGGCTGCCGGGATTAGAACCGGCGCCCATATGGGATCCCGGGCATGCAAGGCGAGGACCTTAACCACTTGCGCCACCGTGCCGGGCCCTGTTTGTTTGTTTTTAAAGCTGGATATCTTCCACTTCATGCGGGACCATATGTTGTTATACATCCATTGGTTGAGGGATACTTGGATTGTTTCCACATTTGGCTATTGCTAATAATGCTGCTAAAGTATCTCTTTGAGTCCCCACTTTCACATTGAAGACTTAGAGGTGGGGCGGCTGCATCACAGGGTCATTATACTTTTAGCTTTTTTTTTCCCCCCAAGATTTATTTATCTTTATTGGAAAGGCAGATTTACAGAGAGAAAGAATGACAAACAGAGAAAGAACATTTATCTGCTGGTTCATTCCCCAAATGGCCACAATTGCCAGAACTGACCCAATCTGAAGTCTGGAGTCAGAAGCTTCTTCCAGGCTTCCCATGTAGATGCAACGGCCCGCTAATGCTATCCCAGGCCACAAACAGAGAGTTGGCTGGGGAATGGAGCAGCCAGGACATGAACTGGTGCCCATATGGGATCCCAGGTACTTGCTAGCTGAGGATTTTATCCTATTTTTAGCTTTTTGAGAAACTGCTCTACTCTCTTCCCCAGAAGCTACACTTACATTGCCCACCAACACTACAAGGATTCCCATTACTCCACACCCTTCTGGACACTCATTATTACTTTCATATAATAACTAAACTAACAGGGATGAAGGCTGTGTATTATATTATTTGGTCCATCAAATCCCTGACAAAAGGCTTCTCCTGGCCAGATGTCATGTCTTATCCTCCCGTGCCTGACATTAAGATAAATTCTCAATAAATTTTAATTGAATAGATGAATTCTGAGTCAGAGTAGGTCAATTGTTTTTCTCATTTCACAGAAGAAGAAACTGGGACTCAGAGCATTCACTGACCTGACTGAGGTCAGACTGCCTGCTGACTAAGTGCTGCCAGCAACAGGCCCAGGCTTTCAGCCTCTAAAATGTTAAATAGGGAAAGCTGATGTGTTTAAGACAAAGGTGAATCCACTGAAACATCACTCACTTTTCTGACTCTACAGCAAAGCTCTGTTAAGACACAGGGCTTGAACACCAAAGACACAGGACCAGCAGGTTATGCTCAGATGGGTTGCATGGGCACATCTGCAATCCAAATATAGTAAGATGTCTTGTGTGAGATTTCCGGCCTGCAATGCTGATGGCAGGAAAATCATGATTACTTGAATTTGCAGGACAAGATGGCATTGCTAGCAACCCCCATGGCACCCATGGATCTCCCACAATCTTCAGTTAAGAAAATGTGAAACCCTTGCTGATCTTCTACCTGATGAAAATAAAAGGCAGTCCTTAACAAGCAGGAAATTTCCAAAGACACACACACACAAATACACTGTGCAAATTCGGGGAACGGGAATGGGAAACTGATGGGCTAAAACTCCCACTGGTGAGCATGAGAACCAGGACTAGGAGCGGGCTTCACTAGACAGATGGCAGTACTCACTGGCATGAGTGTGGGCTGGAGGGTGGAGTCGGTTGTGTTGAGTTAGGTTTCAATGCCCAACGATGCATACAAGAGCTACAGAAGATGTGGCACAGACTGGACCAGTCCACTATACATGATGGCAATTACAGGTACCAGGGCTGGGGGCTGGTCCAGTGGGGATTATTAGGGGCCATTCTGACAGGCCTGCAGCTCCTCTGGTGTGGTAAGGGCAGAGTGTGTGGTGGGCAGGATTGGACTGGGCCACAGCACTCACTAGTTTGCATAAGAGACGGGGGAGATAAATTTGACCCAGCAATCGCTACTGCCAGTATGTGTGTAGACTGATGTGAGTGACAGAATGAGCTGGACACCATACTGGCAGGTGCACACAAGAATCAATTCTAGGATCACTTCACACGATATTTCTCTGAGGGTTCTCCCAATTAAACCACTGGACTCAGATCTCCAACCATGTGGAGAGTGGCAGGACCTGTGGTCTGACAATGGAGTGCATGTGTCAGAGCTGGGCCTCTTTAGCAACTTGGCCAGAGCAGTAGACGGTAAACCCAGATGCACATGGAGGATTTGGCAGTTCATTGGAACCCACAGAGAAAAATGTGGTCATGTACCCCAGTGAAGCTTGGCAGCAAATATGCAGGCAAATGAAGACTCTGAGGTGGACTATGTCAGCCAATGGGCCCTGGAATGATTTTCTTACTCTTGTATCTATGAGATCAAAAGCATTTCAGAACTATCAAAACTACATGAGCAGAACCCTGGGAGCACACTCCATGTCGGAGACTCTGGGATGACATCAAGTGGCCATTTCCCATCGCTGGGTGCTGAAGCAGTTGGGAGGCCCAGTATGGCTTTTCCCCTTATCTCTCCCTTCCCTCAGATAGAGAAGGAAGAAAAAGAAAAGGTGGAAACAATGGTATCACCCACTTTCTCATAATTTTCAACACTTCCCACCCTAATCAACTATGTAAACATCATCAAAAAATTTTTTAAAAATTTAAATACATCTATGAAATAATCAAAGATTCAAAAATGTGGAGAGGAGACATGTGGCTTCCTCTGCTCTCTGCCCTTTGGGGTGAGCCAGCCTACGCTGTCATCTCCCAGCACACAGTCTTCTATCTGATTAATCTCTCTACTCCCTAGAAGGATTCACTTGTTTATTTACTAGGATACAAATATCACCCTAAGGAGACAGAGTGCTCTCCTGGATTCCTTAGCTATAGCTCTGTAGGGCCAATTCAGTGGGAATCATGGGCTTTCCAACCTCAGGCCATTAGGCCAACCACGATGAAGACTGTAATACATATGAGTTCAGATCACATGAATTGATCCAAGACTTCAGAACTGGAATTTTAAAAGTACTTTTACAAAAAAATATTAATGCAGCAAACTGTCTTTGAGAATTGGTTGATTTGAGTGGGACTTGAAACCTATACGCTCCATTGAACAAACATCAAGCACTTGGTAATTATTAACTACTAAATGGAAACAATATTATATTTTACTTATCCATTAAATATCAGCACAATCCAACTCAAATGCAAAATTCCTCTAAGCCAGGCATGCAACACTCATATCACGGGGACTATTTCTGAACATCACTATGGGCTATCGTTTCCATCCTCATCTCTGTGCTACTCAACATAGAACCCCAGAGCTGCTGCTCAGTTTAAGTAGCTGTGGCAAGGCTGCATGTCAACTGTCTTTCCTAATGTAGTGTCAATCAGACAGCACCCAAGACTATCACTCACCACTAGGAAAAGAGGAGGGTGTTAGTAGCAGCCCCCCCCCCGGGAACCTGCACAGAACCCCACATGCCCCTGGGAGTGTGCAGTGTGGACCTGATACGCTGGTGGGGAAGGCAGAAGGGAAGCTGAAGTGGTGCCTGCTCATTGTCAGGGGCTACATGGGTGAAGGCAGCCACCAGGGAAAGCCTGTTGCAGCCCTCCTCCCCTCCACATGACACCTGTCCATAGCACAGCCCTAGAGAACCATGGAGGGTCCCAGCCAGCAGGGCCTGTCTCTTCAAGCCTGCCCCACCCCTTCAGTGAGTGCTAGACAGCAACCGAAAGGCCCTTTTAATGTGCACCTAAAGAAGCTAACTATCCAGGGCAGAGAAAAGTTTGGGGCGAGGTGGCTCTTAGTCTTGGATAACTGGCACACAGATAATGTATACCATGATGAAATGGCTATTACTGGCAAGTAGTAACCATAGGTATCCCTGGTGAAAAGAAAGGATTCTGGCCATTGGGCTGCTCCAGTCCCATCCCATCCCTATCTCTCAGGCACATCTGTAGATCCTCCCCCTCTAGTTTCACAGAGCTGAAGATGGATGTGGAGTCATTGTGGCTTTATGCCAAGGGGCAATGCTGTGTACACAGAAGGGAGACTCTGGGAGATGTGGCTTGCAGCAGACCCTGTGGCTGCAGTGGCACAGGGGACACACAAGAGCTCTCTGCTCCCCCCACCTCCCCAAAGTTCTGCACTCAGCATCTATCCTTATAGGTGTGTCGCCCTCACTCGTCCTCATGGGAAGGCTTCACTATGTGGTGCAGAGAGGCTGGGTGACTGGCCAGGGAGCCTGTGTAAGGAGCTGGGTCAGCATTCAGCCAGTGTCAGACAGCCCTGGTTATAGGACTCAGGTGTGTCTGAATTCACAGGTCAGGATGTACACAGGACCTGAGAGGAAATTTGATGTAACAGAATCCAGAAACTGATGACAAGTCCTGCCTGATGCTACATTGAGGTAGAGATTAATCAGCAAACCCATTCCTGCTTCATGACTCCAGTTATCCCAGCCTCTTGTTTGGGCCTCTTTTGCTCCATCACCTCATAGGTACTGTTGCATTAAGGGTTTATGTCATCTCCCCAGAACTAAAGTTGCTGCCATCCTACTTCCTGGCCCTCTCTGCTAACTCCGTTCCTTCTCTGCCATACCTGTCCCTTTTGAAACATGCAGATCCCAAATGCTCTCATTATTCAAGCTTATCCTCTTCAAGCTATTTTACTTCAGAACATTCCTTATTTTCTCTTATTGTCTGTCAAGTGCATTACTGAAGGTGTGATTAATCAAAGTCATTTATAACCTGAATCATGGGGCTATCTGCTCATATGCAGCTCTGAGGTCAAGAACATGGAGCGCTGTTCCCTTTCCTCGTCCCAGCCACATCAGCATCAACGTAGCCCCATTTTCTTTGCAGGTCAAACTCGGTTCTTCACGCATTCCCTCCTGATGAAAGCAACTGAGTAGTGTACCATCCAACCTCTCATTCTTTTCCTCTCATCAATGTCCTGACTTGCTTTTGAAATCATCTCCCTGTCGGCCATGTCTAACCATAGTCAGAATAAACATATGGCTTTTATGTGTGTGTATCAATTTGGGGAGTCAGCTTGGATTTCTTGTGTGTAGTCCTACATGCTTGTGCATGAAGCGCATGGGTGCGCTGCCACCGGGGCCTACTTCCAAACGACCAGAAAGGAATATCTTCACAGTTGATTATTTGCACATAAGTTCAAAGCACATGAGACGTGGCAGGAGGATGTACATGGGATTACCATCAAGATTGTATTTATTAGAGGATAAATTGCTGTCTGTGTTACAGTGTGCTCTGCTTCCAAACCAGCTCCCTGCTAATGCGTCTAGGAAAGCAGCTGATGAGAGCACAGGGCTGGGGTCTCTGGTACCCAATGGGAAGTTGCTAGCTCCTGGTAGTGCAGCCATTTGGGGAGTGAAAACAGCACACTCAAGATCTCTTTGGCACTCGGCCTTTCAAGTCAATCAATTTTTAAAGAGATTTTATTAGCTGTGATTGACAGTGTGGTAACACGGAATCTGCCTGTTGTGGGTCATTGTCAGGGACAGTTGGTACATTACTTTAATGTGGTCTACAGTGCTGCGTCCCTAAGGTGGCAACCCTGCCCTCTACAGGGAAACCATGCAAAGAACTGCCCGACAGAATGCGCGGGAGGCTTGGGGCGGCAATACCACACGTGCTCAAAATCTCCGTGGAACTAACAAGTACAGTGAGCAGTTTTAAACATATCTAGCTCACTAGCGGTGTCCCCTCTTGTACAACAGACCTGAAGCTTTCCTCCTATAGAGGTATGGGGCTTTGCACTCTTCTCAGTCATGTTCTAAAATACGAGCAAGAAACAGTGACAAAAAACCGCTCGCCCTAGGACACCCCACGCCCCACCCGTGGAATGGCAACGTTTTGTTCTAGGGGAAGGAGTTGGAACCGCATCTGGGGACCAAGGAACCAAACCCGTAAAGGTTTACGCATCATCCCTCTCCTCAGGAGAAGTTTATATTCATGGGAAACTGCCTTGTAGTGCTCGGTCGCGTCCTCTGGCGGTCGGGGGCCAGGCGGGAGGCTGGCTGGCTGGCTGGCGGAGGACGGTGGGTCATCAGAGTCAACCAACTCGGCAACCTGGAGAGGCACGGGCCAACCTGGAGTCCTTGCCCACCTGTGCGCACGACTCGGGGCGGGGCGGGCGCCTTGACTACCGCGGCCAGCGCACTCGCGGCTGCGCTCGGCCCCGGACGCCCAGGGCTGCGCCTAGGCTCGCGGCCGCCGCGCCCACGTCCGCGCCCGGAGCCCCCGACTGGGCCCGCCCCGCTCCGGCCCCCTCCCCATCAGGGACGCGCGCCGAGCCCGGCGGCGGCGGCCCGGCCCTCGCCCAGGGTTTAAAGCCCGCACACCAAGTTGTGTGCTGGAGCTCAGTGTGACTTGTCGTCGCTCGGTGGCAGCGGTGGGGACTCGGACGCGGTGAGTTTCGCGGTCTGCTCGTCTCTGGGAAGGACGCTGGCCATGGAGGGAGAGCCGGCCCGCGACGGGGGAGGGGCCGATTTTTTGAAAAAAGGGGTCGCTGCCACGCCAGCCCTCGTTTGCGGTGAATTCGTTTTCCTCCCTTTGTTACTTACCGGAAGCGCGGGGATTCTGGAGCGTGACCAGAAACCTTTGGGAAGGACTCACCTTGCCCTGAGAACTCTTGGCTTGGATCACAAAATAACGCGCTATTCGCTCAGGGCAAGAGGGATCCAGGCGCTCAGGCGCCGCTCTTGGCAGCGAAAGCCCTCACTCGCTCTCCCGCCAGTGTCTCCCCTTGTCTAGGGGTCCCGGCTGTGCAGCCGCTCGCATCCTGGCCGGCGTACCCCCGATTGGGGAGTGAGGAGGGGTAGAAAGGCATCCTCTTTTCCCTTCCACGTTAACACGCTCGGCGGGAGCCGTGTCGAGCCCCTGGCGTGGTGGACTCTTTGTGCTACTGACCGGAGCCAGCCCCGTGGGTGTCCCTCCCGGCTGCGGGCCGTGGCCGCCCTGCCTGCGCCCCGCCCCTGTCTGCCAGCCTGCCGGCCGATCGGCCGGCCTGAGCACCGAGCCGCGCCTCCTCTCCCGGACCACTCTCGCCCCTCAGTCCCTGGAGCTTGCCCGGGACCTAGGACTTGGCCGGGTTAGCCAGGACGCGAAGGCGCGCTCGTTCACGTGGCCGGCTTCTGGACGTCAGGTTGGAATGTGCGCTGGGCCGGGGACTCGCTGCCGGAGAAAGACTCCCGGCCCCGGGGCGCTCCTGCGTCTGGCAGCTGGGGAGGCCCTTCTCGCCGCGGGACTAGGGGCTGCTCGTCGTGCGAAGAGGGAGCCGCGGTCCCTTCCCGGAGCGCCTTTGTTCGCCCAAGCCAGCCGGCGAGGGTGGCGGGGGTCGTAACCCCGGACGGAGCCGCCTCCCAGGTGCTTAATGTGGGCGCACGGGGTAGGGGCAGTTTCTTGGAGACCGGAGGCCTCTTCCTTCCTTGGGAAGTCTTGGGGCAGGCCCGAGCGCGGGAATAGCGACGTGGACGCGGCTCCACCGCTTCGGGATCCGGCTGCTGATTGCAGCCTCGCTCCCCCGCCTGGCTGGAACGCTCTTGGCTAGTTACTGCCGGGGAAATGCAAGCAGGAAAAGTGGCCGGGAGGAGGGAGATCGCACAAACTTTAGCTGGGCTTTCTCTAATGGGGAGCACATGGCTGCTCTTAGCTTGCAACGCTGCTGAATTTGCTTTTCCACCCTAATCGATGGCTTGCTCTGGTACCCTACGAGTTTAGTTTTAATCTAAACACACTTTTCTTTCTTTTCCCATGAGGGTTTTTGTAGGGCACGGGTCATTTTAAAGGACACTGTTGTTTCGGCAGTGGGCCGGTGGCCCGTATTTAGGCTAATTCTCTAATGAAAATACATATACTAGAATTGGATTTGTTCCTCCGTGCCTTTATTTTGGGAAACCTTGTCTGATTCCTCTGAGGGAAGGGAGAGTGGAATGTAAGAAACTGAAATTGACCCAGAAAAGGATGCCGGAAGAGGCTACTTGAAGGTTAGCAGCGGTGTGGAAGTGATCCCACGCTTAACTTTCTTAAAGAGTGATGCGTAATGAGAAGCCTTAATCTTAACTTTCTTACAGGGGGTACCTTTTTATCTTGTCACCAGGGGGAGGAGGAATCCTTGGCCTTCTCCCTCCTCACTTTTTATTGGCCAGCTCTGCCTGAATCTGAGTCTGCACCTGAAAGATTTCTATTATATACTCACACTTCAATTGTATGACTCCATCACCAGGTCCTTTTCTCTCTCTACTCCCACCTCCCATGCGTCCTCCCTGAGAGTTCCAGTGGATTCCAGAAGTGCGCCTGAGTATATTGTAGGCTGGCTTTGCCAACAAAGAAAATTCATGAGGGGGAAAATAATTTGCCAAAGAAAGAGCAGGGCCTAACAAGTAAAAAACATAATGTTATATTTCATTTACATGGAGGATCACATTTCCCCATTCATAAAAGACATGTAAATAGTTGAGGGTGTGGAAAAGGGAAATAGCTTTCTAACTCTCAAATGTAGAATCCAAGGCTTGAATAATAACCCGTGGGGTTAGAAGTGGGTCATCTTTTTTTAAATGGGTTACTTTGGCTAGAATGATTGCACTTGGGGACTTTGAAATCTTTAAGAGGCTGAGTTCTGTGTGAGGCCCAGTTGTATCTTTCAGCACACTGAAAGGAAGGAGATAGTCTCAAAGTAACAACATGAACCCTGTGAGGGGGCCATTTGATGCCTGCCTGACTGAAGAGACAGAGACTTTGCATTTTAAGCTGCATTGTATCTTTTGGGGGGAATACTTCCATAGTGATTGCTTTATGCCAGTGTTAGAATGATCTTGAGACAGGAATTAATTGCATCTGTGTTTCAGAAATAGAGGCAAAGCAAATTATGAAAAGAGAGCTCTGCCACTTGACATCAAATCTTTTCCAGCAGAGAGACAGCCAGAACTGTGTAAATCTAGAATCGATGCTTTCTTTGTGGTAGTCACTATCTATTACTTTACAGGCTTCAAAAAAACTCCTGGGAAATGTAATATAAAAAAGTGGATTTTTTTCCATGAAACTACTGAAATGCCCTAGTGTAAGAATCTTTCTATGTAAAGAAATGGAATCAAGTGAGGTATGAATGAGAGTTAAATGTAAGTGATATATTTTTAAAAATATTTTATTCACCAGACAGGTAGAGACAGAGGGAGGGATCTTCTGTTGGCTGGTTCACTCCCCAAAATGCCTTAAAATTCTGAGCCTGGCTGAAGCTAGATACCCAGAATTCAGTCCAGGTCTCCACATGGGTGGCAGCGACCCAAGTACTTGAGCCGTCACCTGCTGCCTCCCGGAGTGTGTGCACAGGCATCAGGAACAGTTAGGACTTCAAGCTAGGCACTCCCATAATGCGATGCAGGTTGACCAAATACCAAATGGCATCTGAACTGCTGCACCAACTCCTGCCTCCCCCAACCCCTTAAAAAAAAAAAAAAAAAAGGTAAAAGCAGTGACAGCTGAAAAGAGCTGGCTTTCATCTTCTGGTTCATGTCAGGACACAAGAGAGCCGGTAACTCAGTCCGGGTCCTCCTGCATAGTTGCCAGGAGCCCGGTTGCTGGTGAGCCATCACTGCTGCCTCCCAGGGACTTCAGAGGCAGGCAGCTAGAGGCAGAATGAAGAACTGGAACTCAAATCCATGTACCCCTATATGGGCTGCAGGTGTCCTGGTCTTTAACAGTTAGGAAATTTCCCACTCTTAGCATAGCATTCTAAAAAGGAAGTAAGCCCACCAAAAGAACAACTGTTTACTAACTGACCCAACATGGGAAAGATCATTTCTAGAGATCCGATCTGAAACAACACTTGTTGATAAGCTATCCTAAGTGATCCTCAGGAAACACTGGCATGTATAGCCAGTCAATGGAAGAAGTGGTCTAAAATCTGCTTCTGTTCAAATCTCTAAAGCTCTGTTTTTCTGTTCTCTCCTACCTCCATCAGATGTGAGGGACCATTTACAGACTGGGTGGTAGGCATGCTACACTGGAAACATCTCCAAAGTCAGCCAGCAATCATCCTGCCCTCAGCTACCACGCAGTAGGTGATGAGTTCATGTTTGTTGAATTCATTAGAGGTAAACATTCCCTGCTCTCGCAGCTGTCCAGTAGAATGCCTGAAACGGAGCAGGAGCTTAATAAATGGCGTTTTACTTAGTGTGTAATAAATGTGTTGCTTCACTAAGAACTGTGTTCTCTGTATCATTTACATTTCGCATCTTGTTCTGCTGTTTGTACTCTTGCCTTGTAAACTCTCAATTAAATGTTGTTTCTAAACATAATGTCCCTCGTGGGACCTATGAACCAATTAGACAACAGACATAAATTAGGTTATATTGTAACTCAGATACTGAACCAGCTTTTACTACAATGATTGGACTGGGCACATCTTTCTAATCTCCTTTTTTCCCCAACCTCTGCCTTCTAGTCAAACAAGATGATTTTATATTCTAAGCCACAGTTTTTTTCTCTTGTGTACTATCAAAACTTCCTGTTGTAGTTCATCTTGGAATGGCATCCTCCCTGCTTTCTCCACCCCTTGCTTTGTGATCTGCTTGAATGCTCCTATTCTTGTACCCCATACACACCCTCTTCCAGAGCTGTCTTCTTCCTTCTCTCCATGCTATCTTTGAATTTTGTCCATTATTCTAGACCCAACTCATTTACCACCTGCTTCCCAGTTCCTATCTTCTTTCCTTTTATTGATCTTGGAGCAAAGTTCTTCCCTCACAGAACACATGATTGGTACATGGGTCTCTAGCATCAGCGAGATGGATGACATTTTACCTGCCCTACCCTAACTGAATACAATATATGTCCATGTTCCTTGACTGGTTTTTCCAGGGCAATGGATTCTCCAACATTCTTGAGTGCATACTGCTCTTCTCATGACTCCAGATATAGCAGTCATGATGTCTGAAGTCACTGTGTCCTAACTGGGTGGCAGGGACAGGGTTGGGAGTGATGGCAACCTTCAGTATTTTTAGATCACAGTAAGGGGTAAGTAAGTATTCTTGACAATAACTTATTGGTAAGTGAATATATAACTTTTCTAAAAAATTTTTTGAAGTATATTTTGGGGGTGAGAGGGAAAGAAGGAGAGAGAACACTCATTTGCTCATTCATTCCCCAAATAATTTTCAAATACAAGGGGCACCCAGCCAGGAGCCAAAAACTGAATCCAGGTCTCCCACATGGGTGGCAGAAACCCAACATCTTAAGTCACCGCCACCATCTCCTGGGATCTGCAAACATAGGAAGCTCATGTCAGGAGCTGGAACTGGGAGTCAGATGCAGACAC